TTATTATAAAATGAACATATTCTTTTATTAAAATTTAAGAAAATATTGCATATAAAAAAATATATAGTTACTATACAAAATTAATATAGGAAATAATAAAAAAATAAATTACTTGTTTTTATAATGAATTCCATTTGCTTATATTATTAAATATTATTAATATATTATTATATATATTATATTATTAAATAAAATTTATTCAATGATATAACTCATTGTATGTAAATTAAATATTTATTAGAATCTAAGAAAATAAGATCAAATTTATAATTTTAAGATATTTTTTTTATGTCCGAAAATAATATCATGCTTTAAAATGAAAAAGAAGTGAATTCAATTGAAATAACTTTTGAGATAAGTAGAATTTATTTTAAATGAAAATGAACAATCAATATAATAATAACTTGTTTTATTTAAACTTGATTTAATTTATTTATACCTGATAATTTATTTCATTGAACAAATTTTATAGGGAATTGTATATGTTATGTTGGCTAAAGTATATACACTTATTTTAAAAACCGTTATGTAGACATTTGAAATTATCAAACTGTTTAAAAAAATAAAAAAAATTAATATTATTTTTGTGCAATGTATTCAAATAACTTTGAAAAATTAATAATTCAAGCACGGCAACTTGATGATGGTATCGAAAAATTAATAACAACATGGAAATTGCCACATGTTTTAATTGGATGTTTTGGAGAATGTACAGAAGAAACAATTAATTATATTGAATCTGTATGGAATATTATAAAAAATACACAGGTCGGTATCATCAAATATGATTTATATCATATAAATGTTATGATATTATTATAAATATTATGATATTATTTATTTAAAATTATTTAAAATTAAAAAAAGATATATTTATTTAATTTTTTTAATATATTATTATATAATTAGAATGGAATTGACGAAATTTTATCAGAAACAAAAGATTGGAGTATAGAAAATCCAATACATATGGAAGAGTTTCTTCAAGAAACTAGAAAAGAATATGAAACTTTAAAAGAAGATTGCGATAATTTGGAAGGTGTTTTTGCAGAGTATGGTTATGATTATAATAAAGATAATATTTTAGACCAGTAAGTTTGTAATTTGTAATATTCTAATAATATTCTAAATAATAATAAATATTTATTGTTTTAACATTTTATTTTTAAATTACATAGAACTGATAAAACTTATGTAAATATTAATGAAAGTTCTGATCAGAACTTAGTTGAAGGTATAGAGAATTTAGAAGTTGAATTTACTCCTAATCTCAGTTGGAAATGTAAAATAAAACAAAATGGATTAACATCAACATATAATGATAATAATATATCCCATGCATTAAGTAATAGTTTATCAGTTTCTAATGATATTTCTATTACACATAAGGATTTTATTTGTACTCCAGGAAGAGAACGTCCACAAGAACCAATTTATTCTAGACACTTTTATAACATATTAAAAAAATGAATTTTCAAGATTTTATATTTTATGATACATAGTTTAAGATCTGTATTATATTATTGTATATTTTTTGTTTTGTTAAGTATTAAAATATTTGAAATGAATAGAATTTTAAATGATTGAATTTCACCAGTTAATTTATTATACAATTGACATTATATCCATAAGTATTTATACTTATGGATATATGTATCATATATATATAATATATATGATATATAT